GGCTGTGGCCGTTTGGTTTTAATTGGAAACGGTCTCTTTAAATTTCAAGGAGATCTGTGCGCATGCAAAGTAGAACCCTCCGAGGGTGGGGCTGGGGTGCCCACTAGCTCAGGCACCCCTATAGTCACCCGAATGGAGGTGCGCGGATAGCAAGGGACCAATGAACAGCTACCAAAAGAGAATGTCTACACCTTTATCTCAGTGGTTCTGCCAGGTGTCTCTGGCCGCTCCAATCCTTTCCCCGCATGGTCTCACCCAAGATGGCGGCTCCTTGAGCAGATGAGCATCTCAAATTAGAAAGCAATGGATTTCTTGCTTCTGCCACAAATCCCCCCAGCTCTAAGCCTTCCAACCTTCTAAATATTCCTTTATATGTGGTTCAGAGTTCTGGGACCATCCCCTGAGCCTGCTTGGTCGGGTATTCTGTGTTGTTGCTGGCGAAGCTCCTTTACTGCACTTCCACCTAATCTGCCATCTTGTTTGTTCTCTCTTAAAGTGTGCTTTTGTACCCTTTAACTACTGATTGATCTTACAAAAGCAAGGAGCAACTACTATGGAATTTTGCTGTCAAGTTTCACATGAAGAACTTTGAGGTTAAAAAAAAGATTACACACACACACACAAAGTTATATCAAGAGATGATGATTTTTATATCAAACTACTTGTTATATGTTAGGCCGGGCATGAAAAATGTTTATTTTTTTCTTTCCTATAATTCTAAAATTGTATTTCTCAAGAGGATATAACGAGAATCAAACATCAAGGCCCTTAATTCAACTCAAGAAACATGCAATAAAGATGCATTGATAATTACTTGTGAAGTTACAGTTGGAAACATGTAAGAAGGATCAGTAGTTAGAAAATATGGCCTTTGTGATAGAAACACCAGTGATTGCATGATCTAATTTTGCAACACCATAACAGAATTCTGCAAGACAAACGACGTATTTATGTCAAATACTTTTTTCAGCAACAGACATGGATCTCACTGGATAGAATATGTAGGAATCAAATCATCTGTGGAAAGAGATGACAAGAAGCTGAATATCAGTCATAACAAGATTAGGGGCCGAATGTGGAACAAATCCTCAATTGCTCATAAAAAAGCAGAAGCTGAAGAAAATTAGAAGTCTATGATGGAATTACCTTTAGTATATCCCACTTAAATTTAGAGACCATTCAGGAATGGATTTAAATACTAATGAATGAAGACCAGACAAGTTATGGGATGGCATCAAGGACATAATACACAAAGAAAGCCAAGGTCATTAAAGAGACAGGAAAGAAAGAAAAGACCAAAATTCATATTAGAAGAAATCCTGAAACTTGCTCTTGAATGTAGAGTAGCTAAAGCAAATAGAAGAAATGTGTCATAAAAGAATGGAATAGAAGATTTCAAACAGCAGCTAGAGTAGAAAAAGTAAAGTATATGAAATGTGCATTTCATTTCAATGATCTGAATTTAGAAAACCAAATGGAAAGAATATGCCCAGCATTTTTTAAGCTGAAGAACTGAAGACAAAATTTAAA